AAAAAAAAAAAAAAAGCTGTTTTCCTGCATTATAATGAGAATTAAAGTAAGTTTAAGATATAAAGTTTCCAACACCAAAGCAGGTTCTCAGTAAATGTTTCCTTCCCCTTAAAATAAGATGACATCTAGCACATCTTTCTTTCTTTCTTTTCTTTTTTAAGTTTTTATTTTAATTCCAGTTAGTTAACATACAGTGTTATACGAGTTTCAGGGGTACAATATAGTAATTCAACACTTCCATACATTACCCTAGAGACATCTAACACATCTGAACAGATGTTGAAGATCTTCTCCCCACCACATTGATCACTGTGTCTGTAGATGACTGTGCCTTTATGCAAGTATCTGAGAAGGCATGAGCGTGCCTTTATGTACATATCTCAACAGCTCTGGCACCTCTGAGTAGTTTTAGGAACTGGCAGCTAATGATTATTGTAGTTTGTGTAAACTGTCCTCAGGCATTAATCGAGTTAATGAAAGTACTATCAGATAAGGCTGTGACACAGAATGGACAGATAAGCTTCCTACGTTTGAAAGCATTCATCAAAGAAAAACTGGATCTATGAGCTGGCAATCACAATAAAAAATCTGAATGTGAAGAAATAAAGAAAAGTTTCTCCTACCCAGCAGTTTGGGCAGAGCAACCAGAGTACTTGTATGCTCAGTGTATGGCACCTCGGGTCAGTTTATATAAAGGTCAAATTAGGTGAAGGGAGCCAGTGAGGCCAGAGAACAACTCCTCCAGCATGGGATTCATGGACACCATCACAAAGAAGATGGCTCCAGCCTGGGATCTGAGGGAGTTTACTAAATTCTAAATTCTGGTTTAGAAGCAGAGAGCAGCACATAATGGATAATGGTTGTTGAAGGTGAAATAAGAGCCCCCAAAGATACACATATGCTATCTCTGGAACCTATGAATATATCACGTCACAGGGCAAGGGAACTCATGGAACCATGGCAAGGGTTGCAAATAGAATTAATGTTGCAAATCAGCTGACTTTAATATAAGGCAATTATCCTGGATTATTCTGGTGGGCCCTCTGTAATCATAAGGGTCCTTAATATAGAAGAGGGAAGCAGAAAAGTCAGAAGGAAATGTGATGCCAGACATAGAGGGTAGAGTGACTCCATGTGAGGACTCACCCTGCCATTGCTGGTTTTGAGGATGGAAAGGGGCCATGAGCCAGGAAATGCAGGTGGGCTCTAGAAGCTGGAAAAGTAAGGAAAAAGATTGTCCCCTCCAGGGCCTCTAGAAAGGAACACAGCCCTACTGACACCTCAATTTTAGCCCAGTGACGCCAATTTTGCTCTTTTGATCTCTAGAACTACGGGATCATAAATTTGGGTTGTTTAAGCCACCAAGGTTGTGATCATTTGTAATTGCAGCATAAAGAACTAATACAACAGGTGATAGGCAAAAACTGGGGGATCAGGGGGATTTTGCACCAGTGAGCCCAGCCGTGGGAAACTAAATGTTACAGAAACTGGGGAGGTAAAGCCAAATGTGTCAGGGCTTACGGTAGCTTAATAGCCAGCTCTCTGGCTTATTGGCTTGTTTGTTGGCTAAATTGGATTTGGCCACTCCTTACAATCCCAACGTGTAGAGAAAAGGCAGCACACAATATGGGCAAACTTTCCTAGTCAGTTACCCTATGATCTTGGAAACTAATGGTCTCCGGAGCCCCCATTATAGTCACTGCTGGGGAATTCTACAGGCTTCCTGACACTTAAGCTATCAGAACTGCTTCTCAGATAGACTGAGTGCCTGTCTTGCTCTTAAAAATTCTCAGAAACTCAGTCTATTTTGTTTCCATCTTCAGAGCTGAGAAGAAAAAAAAAATACCTATATGCAAGTGAATAACACAAGATGATCATATTATTAATGATAACAATAGATATCATTTGAGTTTCCTAAGCACACTTCACAAAACTCGATAAACCTCATTTCTTTTAGTCATTATGATCCCATAAGGTACACACTATTATTATCTTCATCTTACAGGTACAAGGAGTAAAATCCAGAGCGATTAATGAACCTACCCTAAATTATACAGCTAGCAAGCAGAAACCCAGCTCAACCTTAACTCCAAAGCCCATGCACTGTCTCCCATGGCCTCGAGTACCACACTACTTCTCCACAATTAGCTGCAGATTGGGAAGCTCCAGCTTTCTGTAGCTCTCCCAACACCAGGGCAGAGATTCTGACTTAAAGTCACTTCCAGCACTAAAATAGCAAACATGGTTCAGAAATCGAACATGTTTTTCCACCCTAACTCCCATGCTAAATTGGTGTACTCAGTGTCATTCCCTTCTTAGGCTCCCAGTCAAATAATCCCTCTCTTCCTGGCCTGACTTCCCATCCCCACTTCCATATTCCCTCTCAAACCCCATTTGCCATGACTGATGGAGGAGAGAAGGGGAAAGGAGAGAGGGCAGAGGAAGACAGGGACCGGGCTAGGCTGATGGAGTGGTAAGCATCCTGAGCCCTGTGTAAGAATGGGCAGCACTGGTGCCCAGCAGATCTAGAAGCTAAAGGCTGGGGTCCTTTAGTTCAGAGTCAAAACTAGCTCCCAGCTCAAGCCACACCCCAGGCCTTCTCTTCCCTACATGCCTCCACCCCCGTCCTGCTTGGGATTCCCAGATCCATCGTACCAGAAGTAAAGAGGTAAGCCATAGGAGAGAGCACAAAGAGAAATGAAGAAGAGGCAGAGAGATTCAACAGAATGCAGCTCCAGTTCAGTTTCATTTACAGTTTCTTGACTGCCTCCCCTGAAAAGCTCCAACCCCCCAGCCGTGCCTGCCCTGCTTTGTGCCCTTAAGGATTCCATTCTGTCGCTAGCCTACATCAGAGCTCTTTCCTCCTGGGGAAGATAGGTGTCAGTCTAGGTGCCCAGGCCTTTGTTCAACAAACATCACTGAGCACCAACTGTATGCCAGTCACTGCTCTAGGCAAGGTGATTCAGAGATGAACAAGAAAGATGGTTCCCATCAAGATGCATCTTTCAGGAGCAAAGTCCTATGTAAAGAAATCCAGAAAGCCTTTCCAAAGAGAGTTCACCAGACACTCAGAGCTACCATGGGGTCCAAGCTTTGAAACAGACTGATACATTTGCTTAAACTCTAAAGTTCCTTAAGCCTGGCAACTCAGATCCTCCGAGTATATGCTTAATCTTTAAGGATGCCGGTTATCGTGCAAGGAAGTTAACGGTTTCATCTTAACATGCCAACTCTGATTAGCTGGTAGTGATTGCATGGAACCCTGTCTTGAGGACTGTGGAACCTCCATCAGGGCTCAAGCAGGAAAAGGGGCTGTGGGAGATGAACGATGCCTGCCACATATATTTAAGGGATGAGTGAGGACAAATGTGCTACATATTACTGTCCCAGCCCTAATGTACATCCTACTATGGTTTCTATGGTCGTTTCATACCTGTTCATTTCCCAACGAGGCAACAAGTTCTAGAGAAGGCAGCATTGTGCAGTGGAAAGAGCACTGGAAGCTGAGCAGAGAAGCTTTTCTTTCTCTTCTGGAGCACGGCATGGTGGAATGGAATGAGCATGAATCAGAGAGGCATGGCTTTGGAGCTGGGCATCCACACTGTTCCACTGATCCTGCACATGGTACAGTGGATTCTTGTTTTTCATGGTAGTTATGCTCTATAAAGTTGCTACAATACTGAATTAGCAAATACTGAACTATTAGTCCCGGGGAAATACAGGGTTAGATTCCTGTGGGCCCCCAGTCATGACATTTTCATCAACCAGTCAATGTATAACTTCATTTTATGTTTGTTTCTGTTTAAAGACAGACAATTTAATACATATTATTGGTTCCTTAACACTGACCTCACAGCCAGCAGCACTATAACTCCTGCCTAAACAAAGCTTACAGAACACATTTTCTCTGTAAGGCACGTCATGGCCTTCTTGTGCCTAGGAGCACAGACAGCACTTCAACGTTACACCTGGGGGCCATCTGAAATAGTGATGTCACCAACATCAGCACAAAATGTGAAAAATGTGGCACTAAATAGACTGGAAACGGGAACCTTGTTAACAGTGTGGGAGCTGAAACAGAACGGCCAAGTATTGCCTTTTTTATGTTAGCTGGGAACGTGTGCCTAAAACAATTCAATTTTTTCACCACTCTGCACACGTCTGTGAACACTGGGAAAGCACCTCGGGTACTGATGTGGGGTTACAAATAAATTTTAGGGAGTAGGCAAATTTGCAAATCCAGATTCAGTGAATAACGAAGGTGGGCCGTACTTACCCTCTGTGAGCCTCCGGGATGCTACCTCTCTGACCCTACAGATTAAAGGAGACAAGCTATGTAAAATGCTTCACATGATTCCAGCTAGTTCTTTACCCAAATATTTGCATTTTCACCTTTGTACCTTGTCTGCCATGCTCGATCCTGAGACATAATAGCAAGAAATTTCCAGCTAAATGTACCATCCCGGGAGCCTAGACCAAAAACTACTCCCACCAACTCAAGTAGAAAAGGAGGTAGTTCGAACTGAAACAAAAGGTACTCTCCAGGGGCTCTGAAGTGCGGGGATGAGCCCCGCCAGGGTGCCACCCCCAGCCCGGGATAGGACTGAAACAGGAAGGTGAGATGCTGTGCAGTTATCTCACGTGGCTGCGTCATCTGCCATCCCTGCTTCTCTCTGGGCGTCTGCTACACTTTCTGCTTCTCTCGGGAGACAGCTTTCCTCTGCTTTCTCTGGCTTCCTCGGACCCTCGTAATTTGGGCTCATGTGTGGTGCTGGCTTCCACAGAGCCGATCCCAGCCTGACATGACACGCTGGGGCACACCTGTAGTCTCTGTCTGTCTAGCACCGTTCCCCCGCCCCCGGTAACAGAGGAGGTGACCATACCTCTGGCTCCAGGGTTGGCCCCTGACTCTTTCTCCTGAGAATCTGATGCTCTCTTAGTTGTCTTCTATCACTTCCGTCGTTACTTTGTGTCTCTTTGTGCTGCCTCGTGGCTTTTGTTCCCTCAGAGCTCTTGCTTATTCACAGCTTCTGCTTACTCATGAAGTCTGAATACTGCCTCTCTCCGTGTCGGCTGCTGCTTTCACACACGGTCTTTTCTTGTTTCTCCAGTTCTGAATCCTGAAAGAGAAAAATCACTGGCACAGTTAATTGCCACTTTTTTGGGCAAAACTTTCGTGCCCAGGACACTCTATAGACTAATGTCCAGCCTATTGATCGGCTGCTCCTAGGTAAGTGCCTGCCATTGTCCAATAAGCTGTGAGCAGGGTTGTAGGGGTAGGAAGGGTGCATATGGTATGGAGTACGGTCACCTACCTTTAAGGATTTAGATCAAGCTGGTTTATCCACATATCTATCTTTTTTGAACGCCCCGAGTCCAACCTATGAAGAACTCCTGTTAGCTCTACTCTTAAAACATATGTATGTATGTATGTATGTTTAAAGATTTATTTATTTATTTTAGTGAGAGCGTGCGTCGGGGAGGGGCAGAGGGAGAGTCTCAAGCAGACTCCGTGCTGAACACAGAGCCTCACGTGGGACTCTATCTCACCATCCTGAGATGGCGACTTGGGCTGAAACCAAGAGGTGGACTCTTAACCAGCTACGCCACCCAGGCGCCCCTCAGAATTAGATTTAGAATGTAATCACTTCTCACCATTCCTGCTGCTAGCACTCTGTTCCAGGCCACACTGCCTCTCGCTTGCATCACTGCAGCAGCCTGCTGAGAGGTCACCTGCTTCTACACATGGTCTATCCCTCACATAGCAGCCAGAGTGATTCTCTGAACACCTAAACCAAGTCATGTCATTCCTTTGGTTCACATACTGCAGTGGCTCCCCATTTCACTCAGAGCAAGACCCAAAGACCTGGCCCCCATTATACTCTGACCTCATCTTTACCACTTCCCCCCTTGCTCACCCCGCTCTAGTCACACTGGCCACCTTGCTTCTCCTCAGATAGTCCAGGCATCCAGGCACGCTCCCACCACAGGGCCTTTGCTCTAGCTGTCCCATCAGTCTGAAGCACACTTCTACCAGGTCAACTGGCCTCACTAACTCCTTTAGGTCTTTACTCAAATCTCACCTTCTCCGAAAGGCCGGCCTGACCAACCTATTCAATACTTCACCTTTAGGGCGCCTGGGTGGCTCAGTCGGTTAAGCGACTGCCTTCGGCTCAGGTCATGATCCTGGAGTCC